AAAGGAGGGAGAGAGAGAGGAGAAGGGATTGTAGTGTGACCCTTCCCCTTGGGAGGTGCTTTCTCCTATCTCACTCTGTCTCCCTGTCTCTCTCTGGCAAATGCATATGCCCTTTTGCACAAACAAACAAACAAAAAAATCCTTCTTAGGAATAGTCTCCTTTTTATGATGTGCTTCCTTTTTGGGATTAGTCTTCATCTATTCATATGAATCAGACAGATACAGATTAATCACTAAAACTTCATTCTTCATTTCTTTCTTTTCATTATTATTTCAGTACCGCAAGTCTGACTTTGATTTCTCTTCAGTAAACTAAACAGAAAATTCTGCCTTCCTAGAGCTTGAAATCTAGAAGAGGTAGTTATGCTTAATTAAAGCACATAATTGATGTCAAAAGGAGGAAAAAATAAAGCCGGTTCAGGGAGTTAGGAAGTGATGAGAGGAGCAGCTATTTTATTGGTTAGTTATGGGAAGTTTGTTTGAGAAAGTGACATTTTAATAAAGACCTGAAAGATAGTCACATGACTGTCAGGGTAAAGGTGTTTAAGATTGAACAAAAAACATGAAGCCCTGAAATAAGGCTATGTCTGGCTTCTAACTGGTTCAAGGAATTGCAGAGGGGCCACTACGGCTCGAATAGAGTGAGCAAAAGGCAGGGAAGCAGGAATGGAAATGCATGGAAAAGACTTTGAATGATAAAGCGGGGAGATCGATGCCTCTGTATTGACTGACATGCATGGCATTCCCTTTTGAAAAAGCAATGGAAGTCAATGTAAAGTTATATGTAATCCAATGTAATATAAAGAAGATTATGATGATAATAAAAAAAAATAAAAAAAAAAAAAGATGGTGGGTGTGGGTGGCAGACGGACAAGGGCGGTTGCTGGGCACAGCGCACAGTGGCCTGACTCCACCAGCCCGTTCTTTTCCCCAAGCATACTGCCCCTAGGAACTGAAGGGGGACGTATTTGCTTGGTTAAGTTAAAATTAGTTCATGTTGGGACCAGCAGTTCGCGTAATGGCTATGTCTCTGGACTCCCATGTAGTTACTTGGTCCCAGGACACCTGACCAAGCTCCCCACAGTGCAGATCTCTGGGGTGGGCAGTAGCCACAGGACCTTGCATGGATCTCTTGGCCATTCTGAGCCTGTTTCTCCTGCCCTAAGTGGGGCGAGTTTAAGGCATTAGGGGGATGATGTGAGATACCGTTTGCAAAGCACCTCACATCACACCTGGTCCACAGCAAGTCCTTTACATAATTTCTCAACAAAAATGATGACATGCGACCAGCAGGTGGCATGATGGTTAAGGTGTTGGACTCCCACATGGCTGACCATGCTTCAAATCCTAGACATGGCAGCTTGCTTTCTGGCACACACATGTGCCCTAGAGCAAAATTTAAGAAATAATAATAAAGTTAAATTAAAAAACATAGTTATGTTCAATATGCTTCCTCATGACTTACAATGCAGACTCAGTGTACTTGTCCCTGGGGTTCCTTACCATGATGGACGTGCTAGCCAGCCAGCTCGGGTCTCTTCAGTCTTTACTATTTTGTGTGTGTGTGTCTCGTTCCCTCACAGATCTCTGTTCCATTTTATAGTCTACTAGAACCTTCACCAGTGGCACAGCGCGAGAAGGAAAGCTCACTGATAAACCATTCTGGTATGTGCTTTTTAGTTTAATTTGATTTATTTTAAATGTTATAGGGACCAGCAGTTAGCATAATGGCTATGTTACTGGACTCCCATGTAGTTGACCGTGGTCTAATCCTGGACCCTGTGGCTTAAACTCACGCCAGGCGCGTGTGCGTGCGTGCCCAAGATCCTGAGAGGAGAATGGAGGAGAAGGGATTGTGGCGTGGCCATCCCCTGTGGGGGGTGATTTCTCGCTTTCTGTCTCTCTGTCTCTTTCTGTCTTTTTAGTGAGCGCACATGCCCTATAGCAAAAGCCTCTCAAAAAAAATGTTATACTCATTTATTAAGTACTGTTTATTCATTTGTTTGTTGTGGTCTTTGGCTGCCAGGTCTGGGCCTTGAACTGCAGTTGACCATGTCATCATCCAGCGCCTCAACCACCAGGCCACCTGCCAGTCGCTAATTTATTTTATTTTTAATTTGCTATAGGATGTGTGTGCTCTCTGGATAAAGGTAGAGAGAGGGAAGAGAATGAAAAAGCACGGCACAGAAGCAAGGCCCACTCCGTACTCTTGGGATTTTGAGTACTCACACACACACACACCCCTAGTGTTTTTCTTTTTTTTCTTCTAGGTTTTTGCCTTAAGGCATGTGTACTTCCCAGAGAGAGACAGAGAGATAAGGAAAGTGAGAAATCACCCTCCGGAAGGGTTGGCCATGCCACAATCGATTCTCCATTCTCGTCTTGGGATCTTAGGCATGCACACACATGTCTCTGGCATGACTTTCAAGCTGCTAGGTCTGGGACGTGATTCCGCTGTTTTAACCTCCACACCATCTGGCTATCCCACTGATTTTATTTTAATTTAAAAATTTGTTTTGAATTATTTATTTTATTTTATTTACCTATTTTTAATTTTTTTTTTTGGAGAAGTTTTTGCTATAGGTTGTGTGCACTCACCAGAAAGACAGAGAGAGACAAAGAGATAGAAAGCGAGAAATCACCCCCCGGGGGCATGGCCACGCCGCAATCCCTTCTCCTCCATTCTCCTCTCGGGATCTTGGGCACGCACGCACACGCACCCGACATGAGTTTAAGCCACCAGGTCCGGGATTCGAACCTCGGTCGGCTACATGGAAGTTCAGCGACATAGCCATTATGCTAACTGCTGGTCCCTTTATTTACCTATTATTATTCTTCAATTTGACCAGAGAGAGACAGAGTGAAAGGGAGAGAGGGAGCACAAGAAAGCATACCACTAGGCCCAGGACTCAAATCACGGTCCGCCATGTGGGAGTCCAGTGCTTCAATCTCACCACCTACTGGCCCCAACCACTGCTTTTATTTATTTATTTATTTATTTATTTATTTATAGAGGCTTTTGCTACAGGGCGCATGCGCTTGCCAAAGAGACAGAGAGAGAGAAAGTGAGAAATTCCCCTCCCGGGGGATTGGCCACACAGCAGTCCTCTCTCATCCATTCTCCTCTCAGGATTTTGGGCATACACAGCATACCAGCGTGAATTTAAGCTACCGGGTCCAGGACTCGAACCGCGGTCAACTACATGAGTGTTCAGCAACATAGCCATTATGCCAACCGCTGGTTCCATCCAACCACTCCTTTTATTTTTGAAGCAGGTGGCTAAAATGATATCTGATTTATTAGATATCCATTGCCCCATGACCATAAAGAAGCCCAAACTGGGGCCAGCAGGCAGCATGGTGGTTAAGGTGCCTTACCTCATAGGGTCAACTTCTGGGTCAAGTCTCAGATGTGGTGGCTTGAAAAACATGCTGAGAGATCAGCAGATGGAGTAATGGTTACATCACTGGACTCCCACATTGTTTATTGCTGTTCGAGTCTTGGACCCAGTGGCTTAAACTCATGCTGGGCATGTGTGTTTGAGTGCCCAAGATCCGGAGAGGAGAATGGAGTAGAAGGGATTACAGCATGGCCATCCTCCCTGGGGGATGATTTCTCACTTTCTGTCTCTCTGTGTCTCCAGAGAGCATACGTACCCTATAACAAAATTCTCTCTTAAAAAAAAAGAAAAAGTAAAACATGCTGAGCATGCATGTGTGCATGCCCACAATCCCCAGAGGGGAATGAAAACGGAGCTGCAGCATGGCCATGTCCCCTCGGGGCAATTTCTCACTTTCCCTCTCTTTCTCTCTGGAGAGTACATATGCCATTAAATAAATAAATAAATAAGGCAAGCCCAAACTGTACTTTTGGGAAGTAAAATACCTTCTTCTCTGGCACCAGCAGTTGGTATAATGGCTATGTCGCTGGACTCCCATGTAGTCGACCACGGTTCGAGTCCTGGACTCGGTGGCTTAAATTCATGCCTGGTGTGTGTGTGTGTGTGTGTGTGTATAACCAAGATCCTGAGAGGAGAATGGAGGAGAAGGGATTGCGGCGTGGCCATCCCCCTGGGGGGGTGGTGATTTCTCACTTTCTGTCTCTCTGTCTCTCTGTTTCTCTGTTGAGTGCATGTGCCCTATGGCAAAAATAAAAACTCTCCAAAAAAATACCCTTCTCTAACCTCAATAACATTTAACCAGGAGGACACTTTGCTCAATGGTCTGGCGGGGACACAGGTATGAACTAAAGTTGGGGAGAATTCCCAGTCTCCTGCCTACCAGGTTAACTTGGCCCCCAAAATGGATGCGTTGAGCTTTGCCTTAGATACAAAGAGTTCTTAGTATCAGCAGATGGCATAATGGTTATGTTGCTGGACTCCCACATAGTCAACCGCAGTTCGAGACCTGGACCCAGCGGCTTAAAAGTCACATTGGGTGTGTGTGTATGTGTGTGCACACCCAAAATCCCAAGAAGAGAATGGAGGAGAAGGAATTGCAGCATGGCCATCCTCCCCGGGGGGTGATTTCTCACTTTCTCTCTGTCTTTCTCTGCCTCTTGGGTGAGCACATGTGCCCTATAGCAAAAATCTCACTTTCAAAAAAAAAATAGTTCTACTGTCATTATGGAGCTTTCTCACAGGACGTAATTACTTTTTAAAATGTTTCATTATCTCATGGATCTTCTCTCCAGGTCTTCCACAGTCTCAAAGTCTCAAAGTCTGACACTCCAAGCCCAATGCCGAATCCAGCCCAGGCTCTTACAAAGTCCGGGCCGGCTGGCCTCCCTCCCAGCGTCAGGGTCTTTCCCTGCAGGTCCCAGTGTGCACAGGGTGCTGCTGACTCATGCTGACTTGGGGACCTGCTAGGACCCTGGCTCTTCTGCTCTCCGGCCACCACAGCTGCCACCCCACAGAGCGCTCCACCCCTATCCTGGCCTCCCTGTGACGAGCCTCCCAGAGCTGCGTGGCTTTGCGGGCCCTGCCCGACCCGGCGCCCACCTGGAAGACATCGTTGGCACACTTGCGGCACAGGTTGTGTTGGCAGGGCAGGATCACCACCGGCTTGGAGAACATCTCCAGGCAGATGGGGCAGATGAGCTGCTTCTCCAGGTTGTCCATGCTGTGTGCATCCCCCAGCAGCGGCTTGAAACCCACTGTGAAGTTCATCCCTCAGCGATCGTGCCTGCCCTGGCCTCGGTCCCGGTCCTGGCCCCTCTCACTGCCTCTGGACCCTTCCTCGCTGACTCCGACTGGCCGCAGGCTCTTACGTTCCCTTCTGCTGCTCGCTCTTGAAATAGCTCTGCGGCTTCTCCTTCTGGGCCTCGGAGGTGGCTGCCTCAGAACTCTGCTGGTCTCTGCCCTTCCTCTGTACTCTGGCCAGGCACGTGCAGCTTCTCCGATCCCTCCCTCCCTGCAGAACTCTCCTTTTGTTCCCCAAACTCTTGCTTGCTCCCTCTGTGGCAGCACTGTTTGTCCCTTACTCCCCAGAGACAAGATTAACTTGACCGTGGGGGTGGGGAGACAAGGGGCATCTGTGTGACATTCCAGCTCCCGATTTAGCTCATGTAAGGCGAGCCACAGCTGTCACCGCGTGAGTGACCCTGACTCACTCAGACATGGGTGACTCCCTGGAGCAAGAGCAGGGCGGAGCGTCGCTGTTATGGTGACAGGTGAGCCAGGAAAGGTGTCAGTCTGTCACTTGTTGTCACTGGGAAGATTCCTGTGAGCCCCTGACCTCCATGCTGAGCCCTGACTCCCAGGCTCCGGCTTGGGGCCTTCTTCCAAGACTGACGCAGAATCTAAGTCAGCCCGGGTAATCACACACGGCTCAGGATGGAGCAAGTATCCTGCCAGTCAGTGACAGCTTCCTCAAGACCATGCGCTTTAGACCAGAGGCACCGGAGACTGGAGGGATGGCCTCTCGTCCAGTACCTCTGCCCGGTTCTGTTCTCATCCAGCCCTTTCTTGTCACCCTAGGGAAAGGCGTTCTAGAGGCCGGCTATGGCTGCTGGGCCAGGGCCGAGAGCCTCCTTGAGAAGTGTGGGGTTCTGGTTCCTGAACAACCTCCCTGGAGCCACTCCAGAGGACTTTGAGTTTATTAGGAAACTGGGAGAAGCCGAGCTGGGCAGAAAGGACCTGAATGTCAGGCACCTATTTTGGGCGCCCGGGGAATGGTCTCGGGGGAAATTTGAGAGCAATGACAAAGTCATAATCACAAGGCCCTGGAGGCGCCTGTCCTAACTCCAGCTGCCCTGAACTCCCACTCTCCAAGCCAGCTCCTCCCGGCCTTAGCACTGGCTTTATCTCCTCTAGGCCTTCCCCTCCTGACCTGAGGACTGGCTTTATCTCCTCTAGGCCTTCCCCTCCACCCCAGGCCCGATTTGTCTTTGGGGGGCTCCATATATACGACACGCGACATACACGCTGGGGCTGAACAAAAGCCCTTTTATTTACTGACATTCCTGAGCCCTTCTCCCAGTCAGGGGAGAGACGTCTGAGGAGGTAGCGGGCTCTGACCCTGGGCGGGTGGGAAAGACACGGTGTGGAGACGAGGCCGCAATGAACACTCCTCACCCATCACGCGTTCCATGCCCCGTTATAGAAGGAAACGCAGGGCGATCAGCCTTTGTGGGATGTGGGGGAAGGATGGAGGCAGGCGGACACCGACGTGTGAACTTCTGTCATGGACCAAGGCCATGAGGGCTGTGCTGCTAGCTGGAGTCAGAGAGCCCAGAGCGAGCTGACACCCCGAGCCTCAGCGTGCTCAGGTCTGAGCTGACTCCAGGCGGCATGGAGCGAGGCTGGCAATGAGAAGGGCATCGACACCAGGTGGGGGCCTCAGAAAGGGGTCTTAGCTGAGGAACGGGGCTGACACTGGTTCTCGGTGCACAGAGGTAAAACGGAGGGTCGAATGGTGCGGCAGCTTCAGGGACAGGATCCAGCCTGCCCAGGACCTTGGTGGCAATAACAAGCGTCTCAGGGCCCCGACCAGCTGACATCGGCTCCAATACCAAGGCAGGCACGAGAAAAAGAATGCTCAGGAAAAGTCTGCCGCCCACGCCCGCGGCCCCCCACACGGGGGTCGCTGACGTGAAAACGGACTGGGACTAAAGACAAGAGCAGCTGGGCCACCCCGTATGGCCAGTCAGAGGTGCCACCAAGGTATCCGAGCGGGGAGGGTGTCAGTGCCTCTGAGTTTGGGATCCTTACAAGGTTCAAGTCAGGGTCAGTGCCAGGACAGGGCTACTTGCTCGTCTTCAATGGGTCCAGAGAACTGGGCAGCGGAAGGCACCCTCGCTGGGTCAGCACCTAGTGGGTAAAGTTGGCAGTCTACTTGCTCGTCTTCAACGGGTCCAGAGAACTGGGTCAGCACCTAGTGGGTAAAGTTGGCAGCTCATTAACCAGAAGGAATAATCACCGAGAATTTAAAGCAAAACCCCTGTATCTGAGATGTAAACTTTCCATTAATAATTCACCGCAATGAGAATTTAAAGCAAAACCCCTATACCTGAGGATGTAAACTTTCCATTAATAATTCACCGCAAGTTAGCTTACATGCTTTTTTTTTTTTTCTAGAGGGTGCGTGCATGTGCCAGAGAGAGACAGGGTGGGAGAGGAGAAAGCGCCCCCCCAATGGAATGATCACTCCACAATCTCTTCTCCGTTTCTTTCTCCTTTTTGGGATTTTTTTGTCACACATGCACAAGTGCCCAGTGTGTTTCTCAGGCTGCTAGATGTGGGACTCGAACTGTGGGGTGGCTTTGTGAGATCTGGTTGTCTTAACCACTAGGCCATAGAGCAGCCTGCTTTTCTTACCCTGTAATTATTACTTTTTCCATTTTAAAATTTTATTCTTTAAGTTTTATTTATTTGTCTAGAATTTTTTAAAAAGAATTATTTTATTTAACTTTATTTATTTTAATTTGACCAGAGAGGGACAGAGTGAGTGAGAAAGAGAGAGAGGGAAAGAAAAAGCAAGCCGCCAGGTCCAGGACTTGAACTGTGGTTGGTCATATGGGAGTCCAGCACCCTTAACCACCATGCCACCTGCTGGCCCTGAGAGATTTTTGCTATATAGTGTGTGCACTTGTCACAGAGACAGACAGAAAGCGAGAACTCATCCCCCATGGGGTATGGCCATGCTGCAATCCCTTCTCCCCCATTCTACTCTTGCTATCTTGGGCACCCACACACACATCCAGTGAGTTTTAAGCCACTGCATCCAGGACTTGAACCGCAGCTGACTACGTGAAAGTTCAGTGACATAACCATTATGCCATCTGCTGGTCCCTAATTTTATTTATTTATTTATTTAGAGGTTTTTGCTATTGGGCGCATGCGCTAGCCGGAAAGACAGAGCAAGACAGAGAGACCCCCCAGTGGGGATGGCCATGCCGCAATCCCTTCTCCTCCATTCTCCTCTCGGGATCTTGGGCACGGACGCACACGCGCCCAGCGTGAGTTTAAGCCACCGGGTCCGGGACGCAAACCACGGTCGACTACATGGGAGTCCAGCAACATAGCCATTACGCTAACTGCTGGTCCTCCTAATTTTTAAAAAATTTACATTTAATCACTATACATCATTATGGTGTACAACATAGCTTTTTCCAGCTTATCCTTTAATTATTACCACCTTTCAGTTTACATACCTCACTCTTCATTTTTTTAATCATCACTTTCATCTTCTTTTCTAAAATAAGCTTTGCCTCCTGAAATGAAATTACATACACGTTTACACATATAAACACTTCATAACCATTGTTTTTGACTAGTGATGTGGTGTTACCCTGCAGCTACTCATTAGAATCACTAGGTGGCAGTGGTGTGAGCGTTAGCGGACCTACCATTTCAGTTTAACTATGTTGGGTAGAACAATCTCAGATGCTTCATCTTCCTCGGGAGCAGAAGCCATCAGCTGCATCCTCACACCTGTTTACAACTACTGCCTTCTCCAGGCATGGGCTCCTCAGCTCCTCAGTGACATAACCTCAGGAGAGGCCAGCGACTGCGCTTCAGCTGTCAGTCTGCGGCATGCGCCTTCAGGAAAAGAGCCACACCCTTATTTTCTTTCCCCGTGCCCCAGTGCAGACTTGATACTGCCGTGTGTAGGGATTAACTTTGTGTTTTCACAGGCCCTTCCTACTCTCAGCCATTTCTCTCCTTAATCCAGATCTTATCTCAGCTCCTGCCTGTTTCTCACCAGACCGCTGAGGCTGATTCTGGACATCCTGTTGATATCTTCTATTAAAATCGTCAGGTGGCGGTTTAAGTGCTCCGCAGCAGAAACAGCAGCAGCAACAGCAGCAGCAGCACGTGAGCACTGCGCATAGGATGACGAGTGTCTGAAAGGTAGGACAGAGTGGTCTTAGTCCAGCAGGTCTTCCCTATGACCATTCAAGTCCTCAAAGCAGCCAGAAGAAGAGACAAAAGACGTCTCTGTCCAGGACCAGCAGGTGGCAGAGTGGTTAAGGTGTTGAACTCCCACGTGACCAATCACTGTTCAAGTCCTGGACCTGGTGGCTTGAAACTCACACCGGGCGAGTGTGTGTGTGTGCCCGAAATCCTGAGAGGAGAATAGAGGAAAAGAGATTGCAGCATGGCCGTCCCCCCTGGGGGGTGATTTTTCACTTTCTCTCTGTCCCTGCAAGCACACACACCCTAGAGCAAAACTCTCTCTAACATGGCTAAAACCGCCCCTAAAAAAAAAAACGAAGTGGGACCACCAGATGGCGTAGCAGTTACATTGCTGGATTCCCACATGGCTGACTGTGTTTTGAGACCTGCACCCAGTGGCTTAAAAAATCAAACTGTGTGTGTGTGCCTGCCCAAGATCCAGGAGAGAAGGAAAGAGAGGGGATTGCGTGCGGTGTGGTCATCCCCCCTGAGGGGTGATTTCTCACTTTCCCTGTCTCTCTGGTGAGCACACATGCCCTAAGGCAAAACCTTTTTTTTGTTAAGAGACATTTTTTCTATAGGGTGTGTGTGCTTGCCATAGAGACAGAGACAGACAGAGAAACAGAAGTGAAAAATCATTCTCCAGGAAGATGGCCACACCACAATCCCTTCTCCTCCATTCACCTCTTGGGATTTTGGGCACGCACATGCACCCAGTGTGAGTTTCAAGCTGCTGTATCCAGGAATCAAACCTCCATTGACCATGTGGAAGTCCAGCAATGTAACCATTATGCCATGTGCTGGCCCCTGGCAAAAACCTCTTAAAATAAACAAACAAACAAAAAGTCTGCCTTAGGAAAAAAGCTCTCCTTTTAAAAAAAAAAAAAAAGAATTTTTACAAAGAATTACTTTTTTCTTTTTTTTTTGAGAGGTGTTTGCTATAGGGCATGTGCACTCGCCAAAAAGACAGAGACAGAGAGACAAAAAGCAAGAAATCAACCCCAGGGGGGATGGCCACGTTGCAATCCCTTCTCCATTTTCTTCCTGGGATCTTGGGCACGCACATACATGCATCAGGCGTGAGTCTAAGACACCAGGTCTGGGACGCAAATCACGGTCAACTACATGGGAGTCCAGTGACGTAGCCATTATGCCATCTTCTAGTCCCTAAAAAGAATTATTTTTTAAATTTAATTATATTATTATTATTTCACTTGACCAGCGATAGAGAGGGAAAGTGAGAAAGCAAGCTGCCAGTCTGGGACTTGAGTCACCGTCAGCCATGTGGGAGCGTCTTAACCACCATACCTGCTGACCCCTCACCCCTCCTTTTTGATTTTGAAGGGATTAGGAAAAATTGTGTACCTTGAACCAACAACTATGCACCATAAAATAGTATCTGACTCCTTCTTCACCAAAGTGATCATAGAGATATATTCCCAATGAACCATGTCGGTCATAGATTCTCCGCTTCTTAGGGTCACTCAGTACAGAATGGGCTGTGTTGATCTCTTTGAATATTTCTGCTGCTTGAGCATCTCCTGGATTCTTGTCGGGATGATACTTCAAGGCCAGTCTCCTACCCAAGTAATACCCAAAAAGCGGGTGGGAAGGAGATAGGGGACGACTGAGAAGGGAGGATTAGGATGAATGACAGGGACAGGTCTCTAGATAACGCAGAAGGAATGCATGAGATGTGGTATGAAGCATGGGGTGTGAAGCAAGGTCTAAATTCCTCCCCATGCCACACTGAAGGGAGTGATGGCCCCATCTGATCCCAAAGCGAAGGCTTGTTGGAATTTTAAAATGGGTCTGAAAGCGATGTAGAAAGGAGGGAAACTTCCCTGAGGAAAGGGAAAGGGCCGAAGTCTGAACCTGTAGGACTTCTTGACGTCTTCAGGTGAGGCACCCTTCTTAAGCTCCAGCACTGCGTAGAGGCTCGTCCCACTTTTGGACAGCCGGCGGGCTGCTTCGTCCACGTGAGTCATGATCTGGGCCAGGGGAGAAGCAGCATTGGTGAGCACTTGTGCAGTGCACTTCTGCACCGGGAACTGAACTTTCAGGGACCAGGAACTCATTGCCCGTAGGGCCTAGTTAGATAAAGGACCACAAAAGGACAAGACTAAGATAACAGTGAGAGGGGCCAGCAGGTGACATGGAGGATAAGGTGCTAGATTCCCACGTGGTCAACCACGATTTGAATCCCCGGCCTTTCTCACTTTCTCTCTCTCTCTCCCCTTCTGGTCAGACTAATAATAATAATAATTAAAATTAAATAATTATTTAAATAAATTAAATAATAGTGAGAGGCTCTGTGACTAGCAGGAGAATGCATGTGGCCAGAAAGGCATTTGACTTCAAAAATTTTGTTTTGGCCAGAGAGATTTTTGCTATAGGACACATGTACTCGCTGGAGAGACAGAGACAGAGACAGAAGGGGAGAAATCACCCCCAGGGGACCGGCGTGAGTTTTAAGCCACAGGATCCAGGACTCAGACCGCAGTAGACTACATGGGAGTACAGCGTTGTAACCATTACACCACCTGCTGGTCGTTTGACTTCAAAGTTTAAGAGGACACATTTCTCAGTATCCTCCAGCTGCACAGACCTCCAGACACCCCTCATCCTGGAGAGAGGTAAGCAAAAAGAAGTCTAAACCAGAGGAGTTTGCTTTTGTTCTGTGCTTCTGTAACCTTAAGACAACAGCCCTAGGCCAGTGCAAGCTCCCTGCTGAGTTGAAAAGACCAGGGCACTCCAGGCCCTGAACAGATTGGGTTAACAGTCAGGGAAATTCACAATTACCTGGGGAGAAACAATTCAGCAGACTGTGTGCTGCCTACGGGAAGTCAAGAGCCAGGCCAGAGGCGGCGCTTGCAGGTAGTCCAGGGACACGTCCCTCCAGACCCCCCGCCCCCCCACACGCAACCTGCCTCTGCCCTTCTGAGTCTGGGCTGGGGGGAGAACAGAGGATGAGTCAGGA